GGACAGCGCCATCCTTGGTGCGTTTCCTACCTGCGGGGCGGCCCGGACTAGCGGCGCTTAACTAATCCTCTCCCCAAAAACTAAGCACAGCGACAAAGCAGCACACGCGTCTGCTGGGCACTGCCACAGGCACAAGCGCAGGCAAATGCCGCCAGAAGTGGATGCCTTAGGAACCATCCCGAAGATGAAAGAACTTCGTATGTGGGGTCTGCACATCCTCGGACTGCAGCCAGTGCTGCTTTAATTCTTCCAGGAAGAATAATATCTACCGGGTTACTCTGGTCGTGAAACTCCATCTGGTCTGATGCTGGAGCAAAGAGCAAAGCAGCCATCTGTGTTTAAATATGTTGCCATAAAGATTTCAAACTTTACTTTACGACTGTAATCGCTAAAGTACATCTACAATCTTTATGATGTGTCAACAAGTTAAGTGCCTGTATCAATGTGTTTGCAAGAGCTTTTTGTTATCTGTAGGACCATGCTGACATTGTGATTGGTACAGTCTCTTCATGGGCCACTGGTATCTTGGATTTTCCTCGCAAAGAAACTTTGGTTCAGCTCTTGCGGGCCAGCAACTGCCTGCCAAGCAGCGCACAGCCCTCCAGGCTGGCAGATGCAGCAAGTGTTTGCAGTGCAGATGCTGCTGTTACAGCCACGGTAGAAAGAAAAAAGATCTCACTAGCTGCCTCAGCACCTCAGCACTCGCAGAGAGTTGCCATCCAGTGGCTTTCCACTGGGCACTATGAGAAAGGCTTATTTAGATTTAAATTTTTTTTGTTTTTGTTTTCTGTTTGTTTCTCTTAAATAAGTTAAACTATTATAAGGAAAACTAAAGGTGCATTCATACTGACATTTAAACTGACTTGGCTAGCTTTGGTTTCAGTTGGTATCTTTCTAGTGTAGAGGAGATCACAGAGAGGAAAATACCATATTCCTGCCCCTAAGTAAGCAGGGATTTACAGTGTGCACCATGACATGCAGGGATGTATAATGGAAATATTAAGACTGGTATGAATGAAATATGAATGAGTATGCCCGTGTGTGAAAGCAGCAGAAGAAATGATAAAGCAAGGGTTAAAGGAATCACATGCATCGACAGCTGAGGACGTGACTGATGGGTTAACGCTGAGCAACACCCTGCTTGCATCGGAGCCAGGCACAGAGGGGCCTGAGAGTTGGTCACCGGAGGAGGACAGCAAGGTCACGGCACAGCGGATGTGCCCTTTCATTTCGTGTTATTCCGACAGGAAGACAAACTGTAGCCATAAGACACCCAAAACAAGGAAACAAAAGACAACGGGCAACTCATGGGCCCACACAGTATGGACATGCTAACACTCAGCAACCGCAGCCTCACATGGACTGCCTCCGCCTGAGCAGCTGTAAACATTTCTAGCATGGAAAATGTCTCCCTAACAGAGGCTGCCTGGTAAACGGAGTTAAGAGGAGTTATCTCCTCTTCCAGCCATATATGAAATACATACAGTTTACTTAAATTATTTATAACTGTAAATTCCAACGTGCAAGGCCAGAAGGAATGTGTGACTGGGGGCTATGCAGTCTGTCAAAGTGCGGCTGCTTGCAATAAGTCAGAAAAGTCCCTGGTATTAGGGAGCGGAGAGTGTGCAAAGGAACCCGCTGCGGCGAGAGAGATATCTCAGAGGTGAACAGGAAGAAGCCCAGAACACAGGCTGAAACTGAATAACATCTGTATTTATGATGATAATAATGATATTATAGAAAACACCACTGAAGAACAATAAAAGAAAAGGGGAAGAAACGCCAGCTATCTTTGCCCGTAAGCACAGGAAAGCCCCACCCTTGCCACTTGCCCGAGAGCGCGAGAGCGCGGAACTCCGAATTTCCTCCGATAAAGGGGCTGCGTGCTCTCCTGCGCCAGCCGGCAGGCACGCGTGGGACCCGCGCGGCCCCCTGGGCCTTCGCCCTGCGAGGGGAACCCAGAGCACGGCTTGCTTTACCTCTGCTGCCCTCACCCCACCTTCCCTTTCTACTTATTGCTGAGCAACTCGTTCTTCCCAATCACCTAATCCCACACAATTATTCCTCTGGGGGAACACATGTTTAATAATCACAGAGTAAATCGACCTTTCTACTTAAAAACATAGAAAAAAACCTCCTTACTTACGCTTTTCCATTCTTGGTATTTCAGTTTCTTGCGTTTGTTTCTTTTCCTTATCCCAGTTATTAGCTTTTGGCCGCTGGCAACAGCCTCCATTTTTAATCACCCCGTTCCCTGATCTGGAAGGGGAGCGGAATTGCATAAGTTACCCTTAGTGAGTTGGTCAGTGCGAGGCGCTCACTGGTCTAGTTACACGTATAGGGGTCTTGACTGCCACAGTTGCAGGAGGCCCTGGAGACCCCATCAGCTTCAGCACACCATGGCTTCTGTTGGTGTTAGTGTCACAACACCAGGAATTAATTTAAACTCCCAGAAATGAACAGGTTCTAATATCTTAAAGTAAACACAAATCAGCGTGCATGATGTTTTACTTGGGATGTTAAGTAAAGAAATCACTGCTTATAGATCAAGTCCCCGCTGGATTCCTCTCAACTCAAACACATGATGTTGTTGTGGCAAAGTAACTCATTAACAAATGACCCCTAACGTCACTGCATCTGTTACTGTTCCAGCCATCTATTTATTAAATCATTCTAGGGGGGATACATAGGGGGCTTTGCAGCCTGTGAAAAAGGGCGGAAGTGGTATTCAAACTGAGAACAATTGCACAGAAGCCATACCATAGCAAGAGGGGCTTTGGGATTAGAAGTGATTGTGTTTTCCCTCTTTTCCTGACATAATCAGGACAAATACCAGGCACAGAGTTACCAGGAGGGCTGCTCAGGGGGATGCAGGCTCTTACCGGCAATGCTTGCCCTGGGGTACGTGCCCTATATCTGTGGGACAGAAGAGCTGCTGTGGCCAGCTCTGCAGTCTCCCTAGGGCTTAACTCAGCCCCAAAGCATCCCACTAGCAATGTTTATCTAAATTGCCTTGTGGAAGCTGACATGCAGCCTGCAGAGCACTCCTGGTTTATAACTTGTAGAGTCTCCCGTACCTACTTGCCTCTGCTCCTTCCCAGCCCTAAATTTTTAAGCATCTGAAAGACAGAGAAGAAAATAACATTCAGTGTGAAGCCTATGCACAAACCCACTATTGCTTGTATGAATAAGAGAAACTAGAGATTGAAAAATGGATTCAAAGCCCAGTAATCTCAAGGGGAGCTTGCCCTAGCTTTCGGATCAGACTTAAGAAAAGGTGAGGAATCAGCTGTTTCAATTCTATTACAGATGGACTTTGTGGTATATTTGTCTTCTAATTAGTGCTGATATTAAGGCAAGGAGATTTAGAAATACAGATATGTTAGACAAAACCTGTTCTTTATTTAGGGAGCTTGAGTTTTCTCAGGATCTCTCCCTCTCTGAATTATCCTTTAAAATGCAACTGTTTCACCCAAGAGGAGAGGTTCAGTTGGAGTTTATTATTCACCTAACGCCTTTCACAGAAAGGGGGGCCTCCATGGGGTCCCTGCATGTCAGCAGCGCCTATGTGTCTTCAGAGCAGTGTGACACATCAGGAGATTGATACGTAAGAATGAGTGCTGGTCAAATGTGCAGGTCATTACAAAATTAAAGTATCAAACTATTTCACCATAGGATTTATCTCAAGATCATTTCTTCAGGAAACAAGCAGAAGTGGTTTGCCTCAAATTGTCACTTCCTCTGTCAGTTCTTTTTCTGAAGAAAGAGGAGCAATGACTGAAAGACAGCATGAGTGTTTTGCAAGAGGGACGAGTAATGCTCTATGACTGCTGCTAATGATGTAGCACTCAACACCTTTTTTTAGTAGGACTGTCACTGCCACGCTTCAAGATTGGGAAATGGACACCCGCGCTGCGCTTCTCCCTCAGTGGTGATGTGACTAGAGTTCTGTGGAAGAAGGAATCAAGATTTATATAGTTGCAAAAATAGTGAAATGGGTTACAAATCCACACCCAGCCTTCCTCTGTTTGCTGCTGTATATCCTTGTTGCCCTAATCCTGTATCCATCCCTGCACTTTTTGTGCATCTTCTGTCTCGTTTTTTTCCTGTGAAATGCCAACTTCCAGGGAATCATGAGCAGTGAGGAACACTAGCTGCGCGTCACGTTGTGGAAATATTGAGACAGTGTTAGGAGCTCTTTCCTCACATAATGAGGAAACTAATTTTTCCAAATCATCATTAGAACTGAGCTCCATGCCTTCCTGTCCAAAGTGACCTACACGCAAACCTCTGGGATCAGCCTTTGAAACTTCCCCTTGGTCTGACCTGATCATCATGCCTCCCCACCTTATTAAAGCACCTTCCCAACAGAAACATTTCCAGTGACCGCTGTCAGGACCTGCTGGGCTGCGCTGGGGAGCTGCTCTGCACTTAACTCTTCAGCACCTTGTTTTCTGCATTTGACTTTCTACAGGACACTGTAGTGTTACTGGACAAACATAACTCTGTGTTAACAACGTTGGAGGGAAGTTAGTGAGGTGAATGATGGGCCCTGTCCCAGAGCTTAAAATCTAATTTCTGTAAATCAGTATCTAAAAAGCCTGATCATCCTATTCACCAGGAAACTACACTGAATTTCTGCCTAGGCCGTGTCAGTTCAAATACTTCTCATTAATGTTACGGACAGCTCTTGCAAAAGTATTAAAGGCAGGGGAAAGAGCTATGGGAAATAAACATTATTTCATGCCCAGGAGCCCATTCTATGTCATGTTTCCTAGCAGGAGAACTAGAGTTTAAT